CCCTCCATGCGAACAGATATAATTGAATGGGCGCGAAATTGTTTACCCTGTCAAAGAGCAAAAATACACAGACACAATACTTTTCGGCCAATTAAAATCGACATGCCAGACAACCGTTTTGACCATGTACATATCGACGTCATTGTGATGCCAATGGATAAGGGGTATCGCTATTGTTCAACAATGATTGATCGTTTTTCAAGCTGACCTGAAGCTACACCTTTAAAAGATGTTACTGCAAACACTATAGTATCTGCCTTTTGGAAAAACTGGGTGGCGAGATTTGAAACCATAACAATGGATCGGGGCCTACAATTTGAATCAGCATTTTTCAAAGCCTTGACAAAAATGATAGGAGCAAAACACGTCCACACCACGTCATACCACCCTCAAGCAAACGGTGTGATTGAACGCTGGCACCGTTCCTTAAAAGCAGCACTAATGTGTTGCGAAGCAGAATCTTGGATAGAATTACTACCAAAAGTCCTGCTAGGCCTATGAACGTGTTTCAAGGAACATCTGCAAACTTCAGCTGCTGAGATGCTGTATGGTTCCCCAATTCGACTACCGAACGAGGTTTTTGAGGACGACCCACAATGCACCAGCCCGCAGATTTTCATAGAGGAGTTTCGCAAACACATGCGATTAGTGCGACCGCTTCCTGCAACACATCACCGGAATAATGTTTCATTTGTGTTGAAAAACCTCTACAACTGCTCACACGTCCTGCTTAGGACTGATTCTGTTCGTCGCCCGTAGGAGCCACCGTACACTAGTCCTTTTAAGGTACTTAGTAGACCAACTGTCCGCGGCTCGTCAGACTATTTAATATAAAAATTTTAATATAAAAATTTTTATCGTTACACTTGTCTGCGACCGGAGGTGAAATCTATTTCGAGACAATCAGTCAAGAGCAAAGAACTGCTTCAGGTTGAACTCCTTATCTGCGTACACTAAAGCTTGTTGATAGTGTTCGTGAGGAAATCCGAGGAGGAAACCCTCCACATATCTATATCATTAACGTCTTAAATATGTACTTACAATACTTGTGAAATGAAAATATTTAATAGAGATGAGATAAAAGTTCAATCCAAAAAAGAACAAACATATTCATTAATTACAAAAAGACTATTAATAAGTCAAAACAAACAAAAAGAATGCAAACGAAGAAAAAAAAACACGACATGTAAAAGCTTCACTTTTTCCGTTTGTTTTTCTATTGATAGCATGCGTGCAATGCACGTTGAATTTTATTTATTTAAAAAAGTATTTTTGTTTAAAAAATTTAGTTAATTTTTAATATTTATTGCTAAGAATTGTGTAAAAAAATAAAAATTTGTACGAAACGTCTATATTAAAAAAAGTGGTTTGAAAAAAAATATATATCTGTTGGCGAATACGAAAAAAAATACACAAAAAATACTTAATATTCGAAAGTATGTCTTTAGTTGTTTATATTTTCTTTGTTATGTGATTTCCAATGTCTAATAACCACTTGAAGAATTGAATCGAATTATTATTGGCTCACATATTTTTTTGTTAGTTTGTATTTTGTGAAATATTTCTAGAGTGTAGAATTTTTTATACATGTTTGAAGAATTTGTGGTCGTCCTCCTCTCTAATGTCATAATTTTTTCAGCAAAAGGTTTAGTAAATTTGTAAATGTCTTTCATTACACGAACAAATTCCAATTTAAAGCTACGTTGGGATTAATAACATTCAACGGTTGTCCAATCATGAACATAAATTTATACCATATATTTAATTATTATAGTTTATAAATCCATTATCACCTTAATTCTTAGAATAATGTACTAAGGAAAAATATAGATATATAGTAACATTTTTGAGCATCCGTATCTAAATTATTAAAATAAAATATATTCATAAAAACAATAGGAGGAAAATCCCTAGTGTTGGGACTTCCGTCCTTTTTTAACCTTTTTTTACAAACAATAACAAAATGTAATACAGTCCATTAAAATCATATTATTTTAACCTTGATGTAGAAATTAGTCTTAAGATAATTTTGTACAAAAACACAACATTGTTTTAAATAAAATTAGTAACTAAAATATTGTAATGGTATATCTATGTGTATGAAAAACAAACACGAATTTCCATACACGCAAAAGTTTATGTATTTATTCGTTAAGGATATAGTCAATTAAATTTTATTACATTCTTATTCAAATTTTGAACTGATAAATTATAAATATCTTGTCAAGCCAAAAACACGTGCACACACCGCCAGAAGCCAATTAAGAAGAAGGAAAAGGAAAAAGCAAAAAAGCGAAGCCAAAATTATCGCTGCCAGATGTTAGGATGCCATTGTCAAAAAGTGCTAAATGTGTGCTGCCACATCGCCTAGTTGCTGTGCCAAATCTCAAACATCCTCCCCGGCTGGACGGGTACGTTCAGGATGCTCCACAAGCCTGCATATCTTTTGGATAGGTCGCATGCATTCGCCTGCTGAATGCTTGATCGTGACTACTCGGACCAAACCATCTTCGCCTGGGTGAAGTTTAATCACCCTGCCAAGCCGCCAATGTGTAGCTGGTAGATTCTCGTGCCGGATAACCACGACATCGCCTATGTTGATGTTGTCCCCATTCTGATGCCATTTGGAACGTGGTTGCAAAGTTGAAAGATATTCGTCATGCCATTGTCGCCAAAAATGCTGTTGCATTTGCCTTAATTGTCGCCAGTATGATAATTTGTTGCTAGGTACCTTGCCAATAGGTGCGTCTGGTACTGCCAATAGAGATCTGCCAATCAGGAAATCTGCAGGTGATAGAGCCATCTTGTCGTCACAAGTGTCATGCAATGGTATAAGTGGACGTGAATTCAAGCAAGCCTCGATATGTACAAGTAGAGTATGTAGCTGATCATAGTAAATGGAATGGATGCCAACAATGCGTAGTAAGTGCTTCTTCGCTGACTTAACGGCAGCTTCCCATAGACCGCCTTGATGAGGTGCGCCAGGTGGTAGAAAATGCCATTTTGTGCCTCGATTTGCCAATTGCTGTTGAGAATATTCATTATGCCAAGCCTGTAAGTCAGCGGCCATTAAGCGATCTGCGCCAATGAATGTAGTGCCATTGTCACTGTATAAATGATTACATGGACCACGCCGGTTTACGAAACGGGTGTATGCATTTATGAAAGCCTCAGAAGTGAGATCTTCAGCCAGTTCGATGTGCACTGCCTTGGTTACCATGCACACAAAGATTGCCACGTAAGCCTTCCGCACTGTTCGTACAGCCTTGGAGCCAATGCGTATGTTGAATGGACCGCAATAGTCTAAGCCAGATCTTGCAAATGGTGGAGATGGGGTGACCCGAGCCTTTGGTAATGTCGCCATACGTTGTTTTAGCATTATGTGTTTATGCCGCCTGCAAATCGCGCATAAGTGTATGCATTGCTTAACCAAAATGCGTGCCTGTAGAATCCAATATTTGTGTCGAATCGTATGAAGCATGATTTGTATACCGCCATGAAGTGTGTCCTGATGCACCTGCCATATTAAAAGCCTGGCCAATGTGCTATCCTTCGGAAGAATGATTGGATGGCGCTGTGGCTCTGCCACCCTCGCATTGTGTAGGCGTCCGCCTACTCGCAATATATTGTCCGCTGTGGAGTTGATAAATGGACTCAGTGCAATGATCTTGCTGGATGTGGATATGGGCTGTGCCTTTTTCAGCTGCTTAATTTCCGCTGCGAAATATTTCGCTTGTTCTGCCTTGATGTGGTGATTTAAAGCAATGTCCATTTCGCCTGTACAGATGTGTGTATGCGAACGAAAACGATGATGTGCCTTTTTGCAACGCAATATGTATGCAGTAGTGCGCAATAGCTTGCCAAGATGACTGAACCGGTCCAACAGATCTATGACGACCAATTCGTCGCCAGCAGTGTAGTGTGTCTGTAATGCGGGTTGGCCTATTACCTGCAATGCCTTTACCTTAACTGGTTTTAACTCGCCTTCCATTATTGCCAGCTCTGCTGGTGCACAGTGGTGCAGCTCATTGATTGAATAATCAGTTGAATTAGGACCGTGCCACCATAATGCGTAGTTTTGCAACGCCAAAGGGGATATGCCACGACTGGCGCAATCAGCTGGGTTAAGTTTGGTAGGAATGTGATGCCAATGCCTGATATCTGTCATCGATTGAATACAGCCAACGCGATTAGCAACGTACTGCTTTAATTGTGATGGGTTTTTGCGTAGCCAACACAGAGCAATATTTGAGTCGGAGTATAGAGTGTATGGTACGTGCTCCAAATGCAAAGCCTGCCTTGTTTCGTGTAAAAGAGTAGCCAACAATTGCGCAGCACAAAGTTCCAATCGGGGTACTGTTACCGAATGTAATGGTGCCACTTTAGTTTTTGATGTGATAATGTGACTAGTGATACTGCCATTGTGGTTTGTTGCCAAATAGAGTGCTGCAGCCATTGCCTTGACACTAGCATCGCAGAAGCCGTGAAGTTGTATTTGATATCCGGGTTGCATGCCTATCCAACGCGGTATTCGCACTGCCTCCAGTTGGGACAGCTGCCTTCGGTATATGAGCCATTCTTGCAACAGTTCAAGTGGTAATGGGTCGTCCCATGCCAATTTTGCCTGCCAGAGTTTCTGTATGAAAAGTTTAGCCGTAATGATGACTGGTGCCAACATGCCAATTGGATCATATAATTTTGCAGCATCGCTAAGCACTTGCCTTTTCGTAAGATGTTGTGCATCATAAGAGCTGACCTGATAGAAAAGTTCATCAGTGAGTGGATCCCAGTGTAAGCCAAGAACAGTAGTTTCTGCCAAGTGCGGATTAAGCTGACATGGATCAGCATCGCCAAGAAGATGTGCCAAGACTTCAGCGCTATTCGATTTCCATTTCCTGAGATGGAACTGACCGTCTGCCAAAACAGATGAGACATCGGCCGCCAGTTGAATCGCCATGCCAATAGAAGGTGTACTCTTAAGGTAGTCATCTACGTAGAAATCATTCAGGATGCAAAGCAGTTTTAGCTCGTACTTCATCTGAGAGTTTATAAGAGTTGTCTCTGCCACATTGCTGCATAGCGCGAACAGCCAAATATGTGCCACTAGTTGTGCCATATGTAACGGTAGCCAATTGATATGTGCGAATGGGCTGATCGGATGATTCCCGCCAGAGGATCTGTTGCCACTGCCTGTGCCTCTCGTCAACCTTGACTTGCCTGAACATTTTCTCCACATCAGCTGTGAATGCTATTCGATGCTGCCTGAAGCGAAGCAAAAGGTTAAGTAATAAATCCTGTATTGGGGGGCCAGCGAGTTGTGTATCATTTAATGATATGCCATTCGATGTTTTTGCGGAAGCATTGAATACGACTCGGAATTTTGCCATGACTGCATGATGTGGAATGTAGTATGCCTGAGATGGGTCGCCTGAGTGATGCTGAATAGGGTGCATGTGACCAAGTTGTTCGTATTCGCGCATAAAAGCCACATATCTTTGCCTCAGCTCTGAGTTGGATGCCAATTTTCGTTCCAACTGGTGAAATTGCCTGAGTGCCATCTGATGTGAATTGCCAAGTGGTGGAGCATCTGGTGTAAATGGTATTTGTACACAATAACTGCCATCATCAAAACGCTTATGTGTGCTCATGAAAATGCACTCGCAAAGATCAACTGCTGCTAGTTTATCGCCTTTAGCCATGTCAATTTCTTTGGATTCAAATAGCCTGTGTAGAAGGTCATCAACTCGCTCATCAGACGCTTCCACACGCAATGCCATAGATTGTTCCGCCTTGTAGTTATGCACGGTTGCTTCAGCTGGTCCAACCAACAACCCAGCCTAATTGCGTATTTTGTGCCACAGGATCATCAAGTTCGCCACGAACTATGCCATCTGCCAACAATTGGCCCCATACGTCTGAGCCAAGCAATGCATCTATAACACCAGTTTCGCCAAATTTCGGGTCTGCCAAGGGCAAATTGCGTAAATGCTGCCAACAGTTTTCCATGATTGGAGCCACAGGGATTGCTGAGGTAATTTTGTTGATGATGTAGAATTCAACATCCAAGCCAAATAAAGCATTGACAGTCGAAAATATGCGCAAGACTGCCCGGCCATTAGTGTATGAACGATTGCCACTGCCAACGCCTTGTAATTGCAATGCACTTTTCTGCTTCCGCAGAGCCAGTTGATTAAAATATCGCGTACTCATTAGACTTACCTGAGAGCCTGGATCGCATAGAGCTCGACACGAGTCGATATCGCCAAAGCCATTTAAGATGCGTATTTGTGCTGTTGCCAAGAGTATAACCCGATTGCCTATAGTAGCGAATGTCTGCATTGGATGGTGTAGTCACTGATGCACACGTGGTGGGATGCCAGCCTGGTTCGGTTTCGCTGGTGCCTGAGGTGTAGTTTGTGCCTGCTGTTTGGACTCTTGCAAAGGAGGAGTTTGCGCTGGTGAACTTCGGCATAGTAGAGTGTGATGCCTGCCATTGCATATGCGACAATTAGTTGAGCCACATGCCTTAGTGGAATGTCCAGGTTTCAAGCAATTGAAGCAAAGATTCGAGCCTTTGAGCAATGTGAAGTGCTCCGCTGTTGGGCAAACCAATAGCCTGGTGCAGTTGCCTATTTGGTTTGTCCTCATTAGACGTGAGCCTGGCCTTTTATGATCAGCCTGAGATGTGCCATGATATTGTTGCCTGCCAAAGCCATCCTCAACGTAGTCATCCGCCATTATTTTTGCAGCTACCTCCTTTAATGATGACCACGCAGCCATACGCCTATTTTAGGCAGCCATATTTTTTTCGTATAAAGCCAAAAACGTAATTAATTTATAATTATAAATCGAAACTCCCGGGTTTCGGCACCAACAAATGTATGAAAAACAAACACGAATTTCCATACACGCAAAAGTTTATGTATTTATTCGTTAAGGATATAGTCAATTAAATTTTATTACATTCTTATTCAAATTTTGAACTGATAAATTATAAATATCTTGTCAAGCCAAAAACACGTGCACACACCGCCAGAAGCCAATTAAGAAGAAGGAAAAGGAAAAAGCAAAAAAGCGAAGCCAAAATTATCGCTGCCAGATGTTAGGATGCCATTGTCAAAAAGTGCTAAATGTGTGCTGCCACATCGCCTAGTTGCTGTGCCAAATCTCAAACACTATGGTTGACCTTACTCAATGTTAAGGCCGCCTTTGATGACTATTACAGTCGTATTCTTTAAACCACTTGTGTTCTAATTTAAAAGAACTAACCGTTGCATTTTTATAATTTATGGCATGAGTCAGAAAACGATACTTCTGACATAAATTGTTTGCCACTTAAAATTCGGTTAATAGCTCATGTGGTGTCAAATATATTGAGACCACACAAATCGGAACACATGTGAATATGAGACACATGACAAGCAAATACTTGCTATGCATTTCTTGTCTTAGGTAATGTGTCGATAATATATAGGAAATAAATAAAATAAGACTAACCAATTAGAGTTAAGAAATACTTTGTTAGTTTTAAGTAAATATTGTTAGAATAAGATAGATATAGCTTTCTAAATAAATAAAGAAGCTATTGTAAGATTTAAGTTAGGTTTAAGAGGACAGTTGTTTTATGGTGGCCAAGAGAACGTGATCTATAAAAGTTCACATTAATGTTACAAGATAAAAAGTTATAATAAAAATAAAGTTATATCAAAAATGATTAATTAATTAAAATAAAAGTAAAGTTATATCAAAGTAAACAAAGTGTTTTAATTACGAAAGTAGAACAAAACTAAATATCAACACAATATACTCAATCAATGTACATCTAATATAATAATCAGTACAACGGTCATTCAAAAGTTTTATGGAGCACTGTAACAATGCGCTCCCTATATGAACTCGTCAGACTCGAGATGCACACTATGTAATACTGGAGAAAAAGATGTAATACAATTTCATAGTAAATGTCCAGAAATAATTTTAATATAGCCAATGAGAAAGAAGCAGAAAAAAATGTGGAAAGCAAAAAAAAAAAAATTAACGCTTGCTTAATCAGATAGTTATCACAACTGCCTAAATGACGTCACTTGCGTTGATGGTGTACCTAGATAAAATTATAACAAAAACTACCTTCAAACAAAAATATAATAATAACAAAAAATGTTATTTTATTCCACTGTTCGTTATTTGCATTTCATTACTATCATTATGACATTTTCTCCATTATAAACTTAGTCTATTCACAAATAATAGCCGAACACGTTCTAACTGATGTTTTGGGTTTGAAACGCGTTGCTTCACGGCTGGTGGCAAAAAAGCTGAATTTTATTCAAAAAAAGTGTCGTTGTGATGTGGCCAAAGAGATGATTTCCAACGCAGATAGTGACCCCACATTGATCGAACGCATCATTACTGGTGATGAAACATGGGTCTATGAATTTGACATGCCCACCAAACAACAATCGACCGAATGATGCTTCGAAGGTGAGCCGAAACCGAAAAGAGAACGCCAAAGTCGGTTCAAAATCAAAGTTATGCTGACTGTTTTCTTCGATATTCGTGGTGTGGTGCATTATGAATTCCTTCCGGACGGTCAAATGGTCAAACGGTCAATAAGGAGTATTATTTGGCTGTTATGCGTCGTTTGCGTGAGGCCATTCGCAAAAAGAGGCTAGATTTATGGAAGGAAAACTCATGGATTTTACACCATGATAATGCACCGGCTCACAAAGGGTTGGTTGTGTCGCAGTTTTTGACCAAAAACTTCACCAATATCATCAACCAAGAACCGTATTCTCCAGATATAGCGCCGTGTGACTTCTTCCTCTTCCCCCGACTCAAATTGCATTGCGAGGAATGCGTGAACTAAAGACCATACCTTTGGCGGCCTATAAAACTTGTGTGGAAAATTGGAGAGTACTTTGAAGTCGATAATAAAAAAAATTATTAAAAATTAAAATTTTGCGTTTTTTTAAAATTCTCGTTCTTTTTTGATCATAAGGTAATAATATCGTCATAATAATGTCAATAATGTCGATTTTTCGCAGACGTTGAATATTCTGATCTTAGTTTCGACGCTAACATTGTTGGCTTTCTATACTTTGTTAAGCGACGCGAAAGAGCCATTTGATCATACAAAAGGATAGGCGATTGATTGCTTAATTTCACTCTCATTGTTTTTGTTTTTCAGGAGTTAATTTTTAGGCCGACTTTATATTACTGCATATCATATATTTATATTTAACAAGAGTTTGTATATCAATGTTGTGACGACTTTTACCATCTCGTCACAAAAAATCGCAATGCATTATGCATAGTTATTATTATTAATGTAAAACTAGTAAAAAAAAAAACAATAAAAAACAATAATAGAATTAAGCTATTTTTAGTTGAAAAGAAATTGTTTATTATTAGTTAATATAAACACAAAACAAAATGTTAGTATAAGGTATTAATAAAATTAAGGTATTAATAAGTTAAAAATTAAGGTATTATTAAGTTAGCATAAAATATCAATATTATTAAGTTATTATTAATTTAATAAAAATTAAAAAAAAGAAAAATGTAATCCTTCTTAAAATATAAATTAAGTGATAACACTTCTTTTTGTTTGAGTGTAATTATTTTGCCAAATTTTTAATAATCATGCAGCAAACAACACCAGTAAACATACCAGCCGCAGGCATTCAAAAAAGGCAATAACAACTTAGAAGAAAGCTACACAATGTGCACTCGGCAGTTAGAAGTCCCGTTTTCCGAGATTTATATAAAAGGATGAGTTAATCAACATAAAGACACTTGATCACAGGCCACGAAGCAGAACACTTAGCAGAACCATAGGTAATATTCAACCAGGTAATTAAGAAATTTAGTAACATTGTTTCCTAGTCCACCAGTGTACCCCAGTCGAAAACACTGTTCCTTAGCAACGCAGTCTTGTCGGTAGCGTTGGTTCCAAGTCAACCAGTGTAGCCCAGTCGGTAACACTGATCCGTAACAACGCATCCTTGTCGGTCGCGTTTGCTCCTAGTCCACTAGTGTAGCCCAGTCGGTAACACTGATCCGTAACAACGCAGCCTTGTCGGTAGTGTTGTTTCCTAGTCCACCGTTGGTCAGATTTTCTTTATTATTACAGGAATTATAATAATTCTCAATATTTGTAATTGCAATATATGTTAGTAATAAATATTGTAAAAATTAATTTGAAAATAATAAAGAAAGGAATTAAAATAAAATTAACCGGTCTTAAAATTATTATACGAGAAGATTCAGGGTTATAAAGAAATGTTCTTGTAACGACTCTGGGATCCGGTGAGCGAAACCTCGGCTGATAAATAGGTTCATTACAAGTGGCGGTCGAGCAGGGACCTTGAATACAACGTAGAAAACTTCGTAATATAGTAATGAGTAAGGCCTGGATTCGAAACCTGAAAAGAGATGAGCTGATTGAATACCTCGAGGAATTCGATGAGGATTCAACAGGAACGGTAGAGGAACTCCGCAAACGACTATCAGTATTCGTTGGAATGGAGCATTCAATGCAGGTGACTTCTCGGCTAACAAGTTTGTCACAGAAACATGGGAAAGTCATGTAAGGGCTAAATTTACATAAGCAAATTTTGTCCTACATAAATAACATACACACATCCACACAGCGTTTAGCCCAAATTAATTGTTGAATTATTGTACACGAAAAAAATAGAAATCTCTGAAATAAATGAATAAAAATTAAAGAAATGAATTTTGTTTTGAAATCTAATACATATCTTGTTTTAAATTG